TGTTGAACAAATAAAATCCCACAAAATTAGATAACATTGATTGAAAACATTCAAACTAATTTTGGTAGGAAATATTTAAGTGATTTATCTTCTTTATTAATTTTATGTTAATGCATGGGGCCCATTGTTATTACTTAAATTAGTAAGTCAAAACATTATTTTTTAAATCAAATATACTATTTTTGTATTTTTCCAACAACCTCTTTATATTACTATAGATAACATTTTAACATATATATTTATTTTTAAATATAAAAAAAATTAATAATTTTACATATTTTGGTTCATCATAATACTTTAATATTATTTTATTCAAAAATTTATTGTTGTATAATGTCAATATTATTTCTAATATTTATAAAAGTAATATTTCTTTTTTATATAATGATAAAGATTTAATGTATATTAATATTAATTATTGATGTGATTAATTTAAAAATATTTAAGTAAATCTAATGTTTGTTAGGAATGTGATAGATGTCAATATTTTAGGTAAAAATATATGATATATATGTACAAATATATGATATCAATATCTTGAGATACAAAATGTGATTTATTACCTTAGTTAATCTGCCACAATTACCTAAATTGTATCTTTAAAACGTACCATAAAATATTTAAATAGTTTCCAGAATTAGTAAACAATATTCTTTGGCGAGAAATAGTTACTATTTAAAAAATAATCAAATATTTTTATATATATAGGGTTGGATTCACATGAGAATGGTTATCAATGAAAAAAATGAGAATAAAATATAGCCATTAGATTAGATGATCTAATGGCTAAAAAAAACTAAAATTATACCTTTATTAAAAATAGTATTGTAATTATGACACACAAATAATGGGACCACACCACAACCACGCACAACGAGTCTGCCTGCCTTTCCATCTCTTTGACTCTTTCTCTCTCTCTCACATAAATACACACACTCCATCTCTTTCTCTCTCCACATCAGCACTCCCTCCCCCTCCCCACAACCCAAACACACGCACAACACATACACAATATTATTTAAAAAAAATAAAAATTGGTAGTTTATAAACAATATAAAAAATAAAATTATTTTTTATATAAAAAATATATTATTATTTTATACATCTTCTTTTTACATATACAATATACTTTATTCAACCAAAAATAATAAAAAAATATTACATTAAAAATAATTATATTTTATAATATAAATAATAAATTATTTTAGTTATTTAAATAATAAATTCAAATTAGGAATTATGGTTTCATTAAATTTTTTTGTAAAGTAGTGCAATTATATATCAACACGATGCACTTTATAAAACAATAGGTTGCACATTATAAAACAACATGTTGCACTTTATCACTACACTCTACAATTGAAATAATGTAAAATATTAAAATAATATTAATATTTCTATAGTAATAAGTAAATTATATAATAAAAATAATAAATACAAAGTTATTTTAATGATTTAAGTTAATTCATTGTACAATTATATCGATTAAATAGTTTCTGAATACACATAATTTATATGTGAGGGTATAAATTGATGCACATTGTATAGTGAAATGTTGCACTTTATAATACAACACGTCGCACGTTATAATACGACAAGTTGCACTTTACATACACACTCCACAATTAATGTCACGTCTAAAATAAATTAGATCTACATTGTTGCACTTTATATATCAATATGTTGCACTTTATACAGAAATATGTTGCACTTTATAACACGACATTTTCACCTTATAAAACAACACGATACACTTATCAAAAAATCTGGTAATTCTGCTAATCGATCAACTAATTAGTTGGTGAAATGTCAGATTTAGTCATTTAAAAAAAAACAAAACAACTACACAAGTCAAACTATGTGAAAATATTACCAATTATTTTCAATTATATATATATATATATATTTTTTTTTTTTAAAATAAGAAATCAATAATATATTTTATATAATTTTTTTTATGCATTGCGGGTGCACATTATGATTATACTACTTGCACGTAAAAGTCTGCCATATTGCACAAAATCGAACGAGATCCAACAAACATAAATTCAGTACGAAAATTTATATATTCTTTCGATCATCATTAGTATTCTTTTATAAATCCAGTATTTTGGTACGATATAATTTTCTATTTAAATAACTAAAATAAAAAAAACAAATTATTAAAATATTATTTTTTATATTATGTATAAAAAATACTAAGGTATGATTTTCTATTGAAGTATAAAAAAGTGCATTTTATGTATTATGTGTATGTATTACAATTTTATTATATTATCAATTTACCTAGTTGTACTCAATTGAAAATGTAAAACATTTCAGTAATTGCAATTAGATCCTAATAATAAATCAAATTCTCACAAAACAACCTCAAAACTCAAATAAACACAAGATTTTACAGAGGCTACATCAGATGAATTCGCGAGTGGTCATTCGGCCAAAATCGAGTGGTCATCCGGCCAAGGACGACGTGCGGCGGTGGAGGGTGAAATTTGTGGTGGAGGCGGGTTTGTAGGAGGACGGACAATCGGAGGATATGG